ATTTTTATTTCTTTCGACTCTCAATCCTAAGACACGTCCTTGTTCAAGATCTTGTGGAGGTTTACATTGTAATCCGAATTTAAGCAGATGCTTCGCTACATTTTTCGCAGTTTCCACACTTTCATCCACAAATATATCATCAATGTAGTTATCACATGCTTTCTTTACGATTGGATTTAAATTGAGCACATGCTGAAGAATTGTGGTCATTATTGTTGGAGCCACATTGATGCCAAAACACATCCTGGTAAAACAATACCGTTTCCCATTTATAATCACCGTTTGATATGGCCAAAGTTTTTTATCAATATGAATTTGGAGGTAGGCTTTTTTAAGATCGAGAATTTTTGCATTTTTTATTTTTCTCCAGCAACGCAGTTTTTCTTGACAAACGTCCGCATTTGCCGTATGACAATTTACAAATTCGTTGAGAGCTCTGAAATCTCCCACTGGACGTACCTTTTTGTCCTTGTTTTCTTGCACTACGCACATAAGCGGTATCAATACTTTTGGTGGTCCCAATATTAGTTCGTTATATGGTACAAGAATACCAGAGTGAATCCATTCACGTATTTCTTTACGGTAACTACGTTCGTGCTCTTGGTTCATCTTGTATTCACAAATGGTATTATCAATTACAGGCTCTTTATTCCAGTTTCATGATGCCGTCCATTTTTTTCCGTCGAACTTTGCTGTGAAGTCCTGATGTTTTATTTCGTTTCTTTCGTTCTCTTCATTTCTTGTTGTATTTTTGACATCACATTTTATTTTTTGTACTTCGTTTTCGCTTTTTCTTGTCGTATTAATAACATCAATTTTTAATTCGTTTATTTCGTTTTCGTTTTTTCTCGTCGTAGCAACGGCACCACATTTCGCTTTGTCACGTGCTAACATTCGGACGTTACAGTTTTTATTACCATAAATGATAACTCCTCCAAATTTTTTAATTGCATTCATTCCAAAAATCAAATCAAACCCAAATGGTTTTTCTTTTACAACCAGAGAATTAACCATCCGGTGTATTCCATCAATTTCCAGATTGATTACCATTTCACCCAGCACTTGCACAGTTCCTCCCAAAGTTTTGATAAGTTTTTGACTTTTTAACACAAGCCCATGCACGGACTCAGCATGAACCACAGTAATGGAGCATCCAGAATCAATTAATGCTGTTCGGAGCCTTCCATTTATTTTCACTTTTAATGATGGCAACGTCATTTCTGGGAGAATACTGGATGCCATTATTTCCAGATTCTCCCTTTTCCTTTTAAACCTTGCAATCATTTAAAGCAGTTTTTAGCTTGATGATCGTGTGAACAAGTCTTGCATTTTTCTTCGCAGTCCCTTGCAAAATGTCCAAGTTTTCCACAATTGAAACATTTAACTTTGTTTATGTCGGACGCACCAGACGTCCGTGAAAGTAACGATGTTGCGCCAATCATTACATTCTCGGAACCATCTAATTGTTGAGCTTCCTGGGTTACTCGTTCAAGGGTAACAGCTATTTCCACAGCCTTTTCAAAAGTTAGTTCTTCAGATTCCAGTAGTAACCATTTGATTGTAACACCATCGTTAAAACCCGTGATGAATTGGTCGTGCATTCGATCATCTCTATCCGTGAATTTGCATCCTTCAGCAGCTCTTGTAATCCGTCGTGAAAATTCCGTCACATTTTCGTTACTTGCTTTTTTTATAGTTGCAAATTCAAAGTGTAGTATTAACGATGACTTCGGTTTAAAAAGCTTCATGATGTTTTCCTCGATGTCTTCATAGGTAACTGAGTCATCTTCAGGGTATGCAGGCAAGCATAGATCTTCTAGTGCAGAATAAATCTGTGGTGGCAAACATGTTAATATTATTGTTTTTCTTTTGGATTCGGGTACGTCCATTGCAGTTATGTATGTTCGTAGTTGGCGGACGAACCGCTGATGGTTGCCATCGAATACCGGTGGCATAATGGCCGAAATAGCTTGTTTTTTGTCGCGTCCATTTAGTTTAATAACGTTTATAATCTATAGCTTTATATATTCTTTCTAACATCCTATACAAAAATCTTTTCTCTATATATATTAAATTAAAAAGTCCCATGAGAATATACTGTTAATTACAGTTGAAATAACTTACATAGATGCGTGACTTTCAACACACATCTACGTGATTTCTAACACGTACAATTCACCAACATAATAATAGAACAGCTCCAGCATTTTCAATTTCCTTAAAAGTTCAGTATAAGCACTTCATAAATAAGTCCTTATATTATTAATTTGTAGATTTTAGACAAGCCATCTTTTTTACAATTATTACATTCAGCAAAGTTCCATTCTGTTTTTTTTATAGATCCATAGAAGATCCAAAGTAAATTTTTTCGGAATTCACTTTATCTAAAGTTCAAGAAATTTTTTTTATAAATTCAAGAATTTTTTTTTGTAGTTTTTAAACTATAAAAAACAACTTAAAAATAGTTGGAGACTTTTTGTAAACAACTAAAAATTTTTGTTTTTGAAAATGTTCATAATTGATTGCCACAATTAACAAGTCACAGTTAAAAAACTCATAGTTAAAATGTCACAACTCACAATTAGACAAATAGAAAATCAGTTTAGCTTTAGACGAAATAATGTTTATCTAAATGATTAGTAAATTAAATTGTGAAAAAGTAAATAAAATCTGTGGAGTATTTTAGTCTGGTCTTTAACACTTGACATAAATAAACAACTTTTATTAAAGTTTAAAATGAAAGTTTGCAAGAAAAACAAATCAAAATCAAAATTTCATAAATAAAACAATTTAAAAAAATAAAATTTAAAATAATATTTTAATAATTATAATTTAAAATATTTTACCAAACGATTTTTTAAATGAGCATAAAACTAATTATGTTCCTAAACTTTTGTAAGCCTAAAAAAAGTTAAGAAAAAATAGTTTTGTGTAAAAAAATTAAATAAGTTTTACAATATATTACAAAAAAATAGTTATAAAAAATGTCAAAATGTTTTGCATTTTGTTTTGTTAAAAAATTACAATCTGTGGTTCTTGTGCTTACATTTACTTATACATTAATGTCCAATGTTTATGCATAAATAAATCAGGTCTTGTTAAAAGCTATTGTTGCATAATGTTAAAAATTAAGTGTTTCATCATTTAATACACTAAACTTGGCTTTTGTATAAAAACCTTTTCGAATAATATATATTTATATTTTTCCTCCATAAATAAATTTTATAAATATAACTTTATTATTCAAAAATTTTTATTAATATACTAAGTAGAATAGAGGTAAAAATGGTAATAATCCGTTTTAAATAATGAAATGAATAAAAATAAGAACTTAACACTTGATCATGCTGAAAAAATCTAATTGAGATATAAACACATATCTATTAAAACAAACACAAATCTATCAAACTCGATTTCATTGTCAGTGTCATCTTCATTGCTTCCCAGCAACTTTCAAAAGAACATTCAGTGCCTTTTAAAACTAACTTATGACTTGAATTTTTCTGTTTTTGTTTTGTTTTTTTGGTTTTTACTTTTATTTTCTTACATATATTTTTTAATGAAATTTTATTTTAACATTTATCTTTAGGCTTTCACTCAAGCTACCCATTTATTTATTAAGATTACTTATTTGATAAAAAAGTTTGACAAGAGCTACGAAAGTTTTTACTTTTTATGAAAGATGTTTTTTTTATTTTCTTATTGTAATAGAATGCAAGCATTTTAAAAATTGTTTCAGCAATTAAAAATTCCACAATAAAAGTGAATAATATTTTAATGTAATTAATATATAAAATAAATTATTCATTAAATGAAATAAAAACTATTATGCAACAATTTAGAGTGTAATAATTTTGTTTTTTTATCAGTTAAATAATTTTTGACTTTATCAATATAATTTAGAAGTTAATAATTTTATATTTGTCAGTTAGTCCAATCTAATTAAAAACATTTGCATGTAAGTCAGCACTCTTTTATTTTATTTTATTTTATTTTTTTTGAAACAAACATGCTTTTTAAAAAGCATTGCAGTTTATTTTAAACTTAAATTTTTTTTTTTTTGTATAAAAATGACTTTTGTGTTTTTTATTTTAGTTACAATGATTTATTCACTCAAATTATACTTTTGAGTGAAAAAATTATAAAACTTAAGCTCTCGTTTTCGGCAGAGGTCTGATTAATTTTATATTGTACAATATTTCAATTTCAATTATACTGTATAATTAACAATGTTATTGTTAATTATACAGTATATTAAATGAAAAATTTACCCAAGCTAATTATAATAAAAGTATTTCAATATGAGTTGTTGTGAATTTATTATAGCTCTTTCCCTGTAACACTAACAGTATCACTTGTAACACTAACAGTATCACTTGTAACACTAACAGTATCACTTGTAACACTAACAGTATCACTTGTAACACTAACAGTATCACTTGTAACACTAACAGTATCACTTGTAACACTAACATTATCACTTGTAACACTAACAGTATCACTTGTAACACTAACAGTATCACTTGTAACACTAACAGTATCACTTGTAACACTAACAGTATCACTTGTAACACTAACAGTATCACTTGTAACACTAACAGTATCACTTGTAACAAATATATACTTAAATTTAATTACTACCTTAGTAAAAGATAATTTGGTTAATGATTTTTTGCCCTTTTTATTTTCGATACCAATGCGGTTATAAATTACGATGATCATTTTATTTGAAAAAATATGTAAATTTAAAAAAAAATATGTAGACATAAAAAAATATGTTAATATAAATAATATATATAAATATTAATGTATATATTGTTATAAATGATAATAAATTTGTAAATATAAAAAAAAAAAAATATGTAAATATAAAAAGACTAATAGTATGGTGATACAATAACTGAAAATAAAGTAAAAATTTTTGACTCTTAAATATTGCATATAAAAAATCTTTTAATGCATTTATTGAGAGTCTGAAAATGTTTATTATTTTTTTAAAGTACAATTTGATGTTGTTGAAAGTTTAAAGAATTCAAGTAAGGAGGCTTTAAGTCAATCAGTTAGTGAGGTATGAAACTGCTTAACATTTATGAGATTTTTTGTTGTGTTGCATGATTTTTTAAGATTTTTTTGTCTTGTTTTTAAAATTATTTGTTTAATTTTTTTATTGTTTCCTAATTTTTATCTTCTTGATGGTTATGATTGCATGTATGTTTCTCTAGCAGTTTTATCTTTAGACAGAGCTAAAGTTGAAACATAAAGATGAAAAAATTTGTGAATTAGAAGATAAAGTCAAACAGTTGCAAAAAGAAATTGCCAATTTTAATGAAAAAGAAAATTTGTTCCATAAGGATCAAATATCCAGATTAAACAATTTACTCTCTCAAATAAATGCTACAAATGCAGCTGTCAAAACTATGAAATCACCAGAGTTAGATTTGAAAATGATGCAGCTTGTTGAGCAAAATAACACCCTTTGTGCTTTAGTGAATCACCTAATAAGCTTGCAAGAATCTTCAACTTCCAGTCTTGTATTTTTAAAAGAGAAGTTTCTATGTTTACCAAATTATTTGCAACAAAGTGTGATTAATCCTCAAAATCTTCAAAATCAAAATCATTTTTCTTCTCAAGTTCATCCATACCCTTTTGATAAAGCTCTTAAGTTATCTCCTGTTGCAGTGGTTGCTCCGACCATTCAAGTCAAGCAGAACATTGCTACAGGTAAGTTTGGTTATAACTTATGCAGTAAATAAAAATTAAGTTACTATTTCTATATTGTTATCAGACTGTCAACTTCTTTTTCCTTTTAAAAAACTTATTTTTTGTAGTAAGATATGTTATTATTATTTCAGAAACTGTTTTCCGAAATATTTAAAAACAATTTAAAAATAATCTTGCTAAAATATTGCTCCCATAGCTTCAGTTTTCCCCTTTAGTACTTGACATCTTAATAAAAGATTATACACACATACATACATACATACATACATACATACATACATACATACATACATACACACATACATACATACATACATACATACATACATACATACATACATACATACATACATACATACATACATACATACATACATACATACATACATACATACATACATACATACATACATACATACATGCATACATACATACATACATACATACATACATACATACATACATACATACATACATGCATACATCTGTATATATAAATACATTCATACACACACATACATACATACATACATACATACATACATACATACATACATACATACATACATACATACATACATACATACATCTGTATATATAAATACATTCATACATACATACATACATAAATACTTACATACATACATACACACATACATACATACATACATACATACATACATACATACATACATACATACATACATACATACATACATACATACATACATACATACATACATACATACATAAAGGTTGAAGCCATGCTTAGAACATATAACTTGCTGGCTAGCAGTTATAAATGATGGCTAAAAACTGAGTGACTTTGTCAACTAGCTGATAGTGGCTGACCATCAAAGTTGCTGACTTCTGGCTGAGCAAGTTGCTCGAGCTAAGGAATGAAATGTTTTTAATAAAAACAAAAAAATTTAATTTTAAATAGACTTTTAATAAATTAAAAATCAAATAATACTAATATTGTCATGAAACAAAAGAATCATGTTTGCGTTGAAAGAACTTAAGTTACTTCTTTTTGAGTTAAGAATCAATCCAGTTGTTTGAAACATTGACTCCACTGATACAATAGAAGTTGGAATGCTAAAATATTCCTTTGCAAGTACTGCTAAGTGTGGGTATTGGTGTGATGATTTCTCTAAAACAATAAACAATCCTGTTCTTCATTTGTCTTAGGTGAATAAGTAATAATTGCTCTATTTTTGATTTGACTTGAGGATTTTTTTCTAAAGAATGACTTTTTTTCATCTCCTAAAGAAGTAGTTGCTTAGTACTAGGACCTGATTTTGAATCATTATCGTTGTCTAATTCTGACATAACTGCAATCAGATAAATAAAAGTACTGAAATAAATAATAAACAAATTAATTAATAATACTTAATAATATACCACTTAGATAATAGTGCAAATTGTCAATAATTTAAGTAACTGTTTTGAGTTTCAAGTAATTTTTAGTAATTGTTGCTAAAGACTTCAGTTATTGTGTAATCATATAATTTATTAATTATACAATTGTCTTTACGAGTAAATGTTTAGAAATAAAATACCCTGAATTGAATCCAATTGGACAAATTTTATGTTTAAATCATTCTCCAACAAAAATTTCTTTATTTCATCTCTTGTATATAAAATATTTTAAAAAACAACATATTTTTGCAGAAGTTGATAACTTTAGTTTTTGGTAATTTTTTTTTGGAGCTATATTCCTTTAGTTATTTAATTTCATGTAAATCACAATGATTTATTGCAAAAAGCTTTAGTATTTTGTGTTTAATCAAAAGATAGTTACCAGCACTGACTACAAGGGATTAACAATTCAAGTTTTTTAAAAAATTTAACGAATTCAGAAATCAAGGCTTATTCATCATTATCTAAACAAAGGTCTTCCCTACCACAATAAGTAAAGTTTCTATAGAATCTATTAACTGGTTAATTGATTCTACCATAAAAAGAGCACTGTTATATCTTGTGAGAATATGCTGTTTTAGGCACTTATGCTGTTTTATTATAAAATTATCCTTAAATTTATCTTTACATACACCATCAAAAAAAAATTTTTTCAATCCTGTTTGAATCATCATAAATTTGTGTAAATAAAGTGGAGAAAGTTCTAGAACATTCTACGGCAATTACATGGTTTCTTTTACTAATAGTTTTTAAGTATTTTAATTGTAGATATGTATTAAGCGGTTTTTGTAATGTTAGTAGATATATTATATAAATGGATGAGAAACTTTTGTAAGATAAGTTGAATTCAAGTTAATAAATGAATTTTTGGAAAGAAAAGAAGTTTTGTTTCGAGCAAGAAAATTACAAGCTAACCGGGCATGGATTCAAATATCAAATTATTGGATATGTTTGAAACGTTTGATGGAACATTGGACGCTGCCGTTTGGATACAGCGAACTAAAGTGATTGCAGAAATGCAAAATGTAAAGCTGAAGTCACTTTTTCCAAGAGAAACTGCTTATTTGGTATACGATGGTTTATACCATCTGTTTATACCTGAAAATAAGCAAGACGAAGAAGAAGTTGAGCGTGTCTTGTTAGCAGCATACTCTTTAGATGCTTATACGGCATACAAACTTTTTGTTAAACGAAAATTAAATGTTGGAGAGAAAGTTGATGTGTTTTTGGCCGACTTAAAACAATTGGCTTATCTTGCTAAATTGTCAGAAGAGTCTATTCGATTAGCGTTTGTTGTTGGATTGCCCGAAGATTTATCATCAAGATTTTGAGCTGTTATGGATCCAATTGATGTTATATTACCCAAAGTAAGAGCTGCTTTGAATTGTGTTTGCGTAGATGATGCTGTTGGTGCTGCTTTTCTAAATCAAGCCACAAAAGTTTCGTTAGTGTGTTACAACTGCAAAAGGTTAAATCATATCGCAAGAAACTGTCCCTTTGGAAAGAATCTGGCTCCGAAGAATTTTTTTCGATGTTTTAAATGTGGGAATGAAGGACACGTGGCTGCAAAATGCTTAATGAAGCAGGGAAACGATCTGAACAATGGTGGAATTAGCGCACTATCTAAAACTTAATGGTTTCTTAGCAAATGCTGTGATAGACAGGGGTTGTTCAAAGACAATTATACATCAAAAACTGTTGTCGAGAAAGCAACATAAATCCCAGAATCCTCCAAAGGTAGTAACTTTTGGCGGTAGATTTCATTAATGTAATAAATTAGCGGCTGTCACTATTGAGGTTGATGGTATTCAAATACAAAACGAAGTTATTTTAGTGGATTTTCAACCGTTTGGAGTTGATATGATGCTGGGAATGATTTCCATTAAGTTGCTAGGAGGAGTTTTTATTTCCCCGTCTGGAATAGCAAAGTTTGGGTTCGGCTTGTGTGGAATAGCAGTCTCAAAGAAAGATAAAGTCAATAAAATTGAAAATAAAAAGCAAGATCATGAAGCAATATTTAATAGTGTCGAATGGGAAGTTAAATGGAAATGGAGAAATGGAGAAGGCCCCAACCAGTTGGTTAACAAAGTTGCCCAATACAGCATACCAAAATATGCAAGAGCAGAATATGAAAATGAACTATGGGATTGGATCAATTGTAAATGGTTAATTGAATATGACGAAAATAAGATGGGACCACCCAAAGGGCAAATTCCCTTAATGGCTGTTATCCAACGAAATAAAGATAATAAAGTCAGACCCATTTCGGACCGGAGAGAAGCTAACAGTTTTATTGAAACGTATACAAGAGATGCAGATGTGTGTATTGATAAGCTGAGGAAATGGAGAAGAATGGGAAAGAAACCAGCAATAATTGATTTATGCAAGGCTTATCTCCAATTAAAAACTGAAGAATCTCTTTGCCCATTCCAAACAGTGGTTTTTCAAAACAAAAGGTATTATTTGACACGGCTTGGTTTTGGATTGAACGTTGCTCGAATGAACATGAAATCTGTTGTGAGTGCCATTATTGATCAAGATGAATTGGTGAAGAGAGGAGCATCCGTGATATTTTTGTCAATGAGGAAGTAATGAGTCTTGATTATGTTAAAAGACATTTTGAAAAATATGGTTTAGAGAGTAAAGAAGGTGAACAGATTGGATGTAATGGGGTTCGTATTTTGGGATTATGTGTGTACAAGGTTGGTGGCAAGTTGACCTGGTCCAGAGAGAACCAAATCGACGCAATGCTGAAAAAGTTAAGTAGAGGAGTAGTGTTTCCTGTTTGTGGGCAGTTGGTAGGTCATTTACCAGTATGTGGTTGGTTACATGCAGTTTGTAGTCTTTTAAAAAGTGGTTAGTTTGAGGAAGTGTTGGGACGATGAAGTTTGCGATGAAAATTTAAAGCGTGTACTTCAAGAGGTTTATGATGAGGTTGCAAAGTACGATCCAGCTTATAGTGATTGGGCTGTACATGGTGACGAGGGGAATGTGTGGGTTGATGCAAGTTCTTTGGCAAGTGGTGCGGTTATTCAAGTTGGTAAAACTACTGTAGAAGATGCAACATGGCTACGAAAACATAAACATGGCTGAGCTGGATGCTGTAATACGAGGAATGAATATGGCTTTGACGTGGAAATTAAAGAAAGTAACTATCTTCACGGATTCCGTGACAGTATTCCACTGGGTCTCAGACGCTCTCACTGGTAAGTCAAGATTGAAATCAAAAGCAATGGGCGAAATGTTGATTTAAAGAAGATTAAGCGTTCTGCAACAATATATTGAAGAATATGGTATTAATGTGAATGTAAAACTTGTTCCTTCAAAAGACAACTTAGCTGATGCATTGACTAGAGTTCGAAGTAGATGGTTAAATAAATTGACGGAGGCTAAGAATTCGAGTAATTCCGTTAGAGCAGTATTTGCAGAGGCTGAATCCATTTCTAGCATACACAAGAGAACTGGATACTTTAGAGTGAGTTGCACTCTAAACTTTGTTTGTAAAGTAATTCTATCCGCTACCAAAAATGATGTTAGAGAGGTAATCAAAAATTGGGAACCATGTCAGTCAATGGATCCAGCACCTGTACAATGGGAGAGGGGAAAATTGAGCGTTAAAGAAAATTGGGAAAGAGTGGCCATGGATATCACGCATTTTGGCACAGAAAAATTTTTAACTCTGGTTGATTGCGGACCTTCAAGATATGCACTGTGGCGACAACTTTCAAGTTCATATGGAAGTATTGCCATTACATGAATACTCCACCTTATCTTTTGTGAGCGAGGAGCACCATCTGAAATTTTGACAGATAACGAAGCAACTTTTAAAACTGAGGAGTTGAGAAGTTTTCTTGATGGTTGGGAGTGCGTATTAGGTTTTGAGCTGCTTATTATCCTAAAGGAAATGGAATTGAGGAAAGAAATCATTGTACAATTAAGAGAATTGCAGAAAGATCAAAATGTCAATACCGGAAGCAGTGTATTGGTACAACGTCTCAGCTAACAAAAACAATGCAAGCTTTATGGAGAAAATATACAGGTGTTGAAGTAATGTGGAAGGATTGAGAAAAGATAATCTTCCGATAAAAGCTGACACAAATGAAGTGTTTAAAAATGGTGATAATGTTTGGTTGAAACCGTCAAATGCGAAGTGCCATACTAAGTCAGCAAAACTAACAGGAAATATTTCGAAACAAGTTGTCGAAGTTAATGGTGTTCCACGTCACGTAAAACATATCCGATATCGAAATAACATTCAACCACGCAATATTCCTAAAGTGAACGCAGACAGTGGTTGAGATAATGCAACAAACCATGGTGAGCAAATTAAAAATGTGTCGGAGACAAGCAAAGGAGACGTGTTACAAGGAAATGGTGAAGTCGAAAATGGATTCCAAGAAACAGTGCCTTTGCCACGAAGTACTCGAGAATGACGCATGACCCAAAAATACAACTATTATTATTTGTATGATCCATAAGGACCAAGGAGGAGTGTAAATAAAGTGGAGAAAGTTCTAGGACATTCTACGGCAATTACGTAGAATCTCCTAGAACTTTTTAAAAGTTTCTTTTACTAATAGTTTTTAATTATTTTAGTTGTAGATATTTATTAAGCGGTTTTTGTAATGTTGGTAGATATATTATATAAATGGATGTGAAACTTTTGTAAGATGAGTTAAATTCAAGTTAATAAATGAATTTTTGGAAAGAAAAGTTTTGAACGAGAAAATTACAATTTGAATTGGAAATTGCTATTCTATATTGTCAACATCTTTAACTTCAGCAAGAGTTAGAAGATTGTTGTACAATTTTATATCTGCTTCACAATTTAATTCCTCTAAAAGTAAAGCTGAGTTAAAGTTCAAACATGTTTCAATTTTTCTGCATTTTTCTCACAAACATTTTATTGTTATATTTGCTTTTGCCATCACATGTTAATATTAAATGCAAGTTATGAGGCAGACAATGTTGTGGATCTTTTGAGCCATAGAGTCTAGAAGTTTTTATCATATTTGCTGCACCATTGTGCACAGTATATAATCTCATATCTCTACAATGCCTCTGAAAAAATTCTTGAACAATGTCTTTAACAAAACTATGACAATTTTTACCTGTATGACTTTCTAAAGGCAAACAGTAAAACAGGCAAGAGTAAATATTTTTCTATCCCATTATTATTAATAATGGAACACTTTAGCCCCATATAGCTAATTTTTTTATATGTCAGTCCAACAGTCAAATGTAATTGTTGCTGTATCAATATTTTAAAAATTTTCCAATACAAATTGTCTTTGTAAATATCAGGTTAAGCAACTTGACTTATAGCAAAACCTGTAGGAAGTTTTAACCCAATATTTTTTTCAAAAAACTTTTTAAATCTCTCAATATAACCATAAAAGAACAGTAGTAGATCTGTTAAAAACCAAAGGACAAGATTGCGACTCACATCATATTTCGATGAACTAGCTACAGAGTTATTGCCCCACCTATGTAAAAGTTTATCATTTTTTAATTCAACAGTCAGTTTGTCTGTTTATATTTTGTGATCAAGAAACAAATGACTTTTTAAATTACTGTTTGATGTAGAAAACCTAACCTTGTGAATTTTTGATAAATATCTTTCAGCTGAAGACTCAACTTTTTGTTTTTCTATTTAAAAAAATTTGCTACAGTAATGTTTATCGTAAATAACATTACAACTTTGTGTTAGTATTTGACCATCGTAGTTCCATACTAATGAAGAATCTGTAGTTTTTCTTTTAAATGAGCTACACAAATTAATGTTCAAGTGTTATAAAAAACTGTTATACAAACTACCTTGCACTTTTCTATCCATAACTAAGTAATAAAAAACTTGTTATGTTTAAATTTTTAAGCTATTCTAAAAAATCTGAAGCATGCAAAATATTTGGGCGTTAATGTGATATCTTGTCAGGAGGTATGCTTTACAACTATTTCTCTCCCTCTCTGCAAAAATTTATCAAGCGAATTTAAGTACTTGTTGCAACATGAGAAAAAGCTACAAAAAAGTTGTTGCTTCTGCTGTCATACACAAGAATTTTTGTTTACTTAACTCTCTATTTTTTCGGCCAGCAAGAGCAACTTTGAAATCAGCTGCGGCTGATTACTTTGTTTGATTGGCGGCTTAGTAGTTGCTTTTAACGCAAAGTGGCAGCTGTAAAAAATGGGTTTAAGTTTAAGTAGTGTAACCTCTACACACTCACATATATACATACATATTTGCTGCAAGTCCTGCATATCTGTAGTGCGTCACTGATATGATGATGCAAATGCAAACCATATTCATGATGTGATGCCTCGCAATCATATTGCCTGCTAACTGTGACAGACAATCTCAAAAACACATTTAAAGCAGTTACTATGTCCAGATATGAAGATAAAATAACCATTTAATGCACAAGTCTCTCAGCTTAACAATGGCATGTCAAAACTTTTCAGCAAATCAAAATGTTCATTTTTCAAACTTAAATTTAAAAAAAGCTACCATTCCAATTCTATAGATCAAATGGATTTTAGAGGTTTAGCTGTGTTGATCATTGAAGCTTTAAGAGCAAAAACTATTGATGTTAGCCAGCTATTTGCATAGGTAAAGAGTTAACACATTGAATTTTTGTATAATATTTACTGCTTGTCTGTTCTGCTGTAATAAGTAAATACTAACACGGTTATATGACATGGATGATTAAATGATGAGCAGATTTTAATAAAAATATTGGTTGTTTTCAATTGAAATTACTTGTATGTTTTGGTATAGATATTGTTCATAAAATATAGCATTCTAAAATCATTACAATGTAATTTCCAAATAATCACTTAAATGTAATTAAATTGTAATTTGCTCTGGTCATTATCTTTATTTATTAATTATTTTATTTATTTTTAACATTTTTATTACATATTTATTTATTACATTTTTAACATTGCTGCCTCTACTTTGTTTTCAAACATTCTAACATCTACTTTTTATGTTATAAAAGTAGATGTGATATAAAAGATTTGTGATTTACCATTTAAAACTTATTTTTTTGATTCTTCAATTAAAGCATTATTTTAGTTCAAATTTTTATTTAGTTAATTATTATATTTATTTTGAAAGAAAGAAATATAACAATTACCTCTTATAATTATAGTTTTTAATTTAATAGAGAAGAACACTTCTTCACATAATCAATGTCACCTTCATTTAGATAATTTTCATAATGATCTATTGGAAACTAATTTGTCGGATTTATACTCTAAACAGAAAAATTTACCAATAGTTTCTCATAATGAAAATGAATGCGTTCAAAAAAAACATTGTGAAAAGCAAATTCGTAGAACTGAAAATGAATTACCATTTTCAAACATGTGCTTGACATCAACAACACCAAATATTGCTAGAGTTGATCAAATTAAAAAAACAACACCTATTCAAAGATCTATTAGAAGATATGGCAAAATTAAAAAGTCTGTTGACTTATTTTCCCCTGCTCTAAACTCAATAAAGAAGGTAAATTTTATTCAAGTGTTAGTTTGTATGGGTTACTATAAGGGTATATATATATGTTATTTTTTTCCTTTCTTTTTATTTTGTATTTTTATTTCTTAAAGTTAAATAGATTCATTAGTACTATAGTTGTAATAGTTTTTTATCATTATTACTGTCTTCTTTATTTAAAGAATAATAAAGTTGAGCTAATAATAGCATAGAACATAAAAAAACATTAAAAAACCTTTTACTAAAACCTTATTGAAGCAATGGAGAATGCAAGGAAGAAGAGGGTGATAGAGCTATTGTCACTCTCTCGTTTTTAATATACGAATTCACTTTCAACAAGGCTGCAGATAGTCACTGTTTAAGTTGGTAATTACTAAAAAAAGTAAAAAAATAATATGGGATCTAGTGAAACCTCCATTACCGGATATAAAAAAGAATGTTGACCATTGAAGCCAATCAGTAAAGCTTTTCTCTTTTTCCTCTCTTCTTTAATGCTTAAAGAAGAGAAGAAAAAGAGAAAAGCTTTACTGATATACCATATGATCAGAATATGTACAGCTCTTGTTTTGCCTTTTCTTGTTATTTTCAGAAGAAGTTTTTATAGAAATCGTTTCATGATTGGTTGCCTATTCTAAGTACTAACTTGTCTTTGCCTATTCAAATTATTGATTAGCTACCTATTCTAAGTGATGACTTAGGTCAAAAGTGAAGTATATAATTGTGCCACCAGCAAGTAAAGGAATACTGTTAATATAAATGAGAAATAACACAAGATCAAGAATGGAATCTTGTGCTACCTGATAAGTTACTGGAAAAAAAATAGAGTGCTTTTCAAGAACTTGACTTCAATTCTGCAATTAGAAAAGAATGATACGATAAATTTAAAAACATTAACAAATACATTAACAAAGAGTTCTTAAAAAGAAAATCAACACACCAGACTTTATTGAAATTCTGTCATGTTGATTTTTAAAAGCTTTCATTGTACACATAGTTGAACCTTAGTGTGGTAGTGATTTGTATTATATATTATTTATTATTTTGTAAAACTGTAACATAAATATTGCGCAGACCACAATCTGTAGAAAAATTTAAAAGAAAAATCACTTTAGCAACAGAAGTTGATTAGTGGTTAATGATGTCTTAGATTGGCTTAATCTGTAACTTTGGTACCACTGTACGACAAATAAATGAGAAGTGCAAATGAAATTTTGTAATAATAAAAAGAGTTGTTCAAATGACTTTTGACTTAAGTTGAGACTAAAGACATCAGTCAAAGTAACATCACAAAGGAACTCGTGAAAGCAATTTATTTATCAATCATATGTAAAGTAGTAGTCAAAAGTGTGATGATAGAGTGCATCTGATCTAGATAAAATAGTTAATAAAGGTGTTAGTGTGATCATAGCATGATCTAAATTACCCAAAGGATAACAAAGAGAAACTGAGATTAAGTTTGGGTTAAGTGACAAGACATGAATCTTGGAGTGTAGGTAAATGAATAAAATTGTCTGGATTACAATTTACAGAGTTTTCTTTGTGTTCTGAGTAAACAATTGACAAAAAATTTTAGCTTTAGTGCCTGAAGACTCAGTGGTACTAGAGTCAATCCATTCAGTGGGATGAGCTTTAAAGTCACCAATAACAATATTTGCTGATTGATAAAGTGAATGAAAATAAAATCAAAAAAAGTGTTAAAATGAAAATGATAAAGAACAAACAGAAAGGTGATTAAAAACAAAGCCACATAAAAGTTAGAGTATCTAAATCGAATTTTATGTTCTGACCAAGCATGTGACTATAAGAGTCTTTTCAATATATATATATATATATATATATATATATATATATATATATATATATATATATATATATATATATATATATATATATATATATATATATATATATATATATATATATATATATATATATATATATATGTATATGTATATGTATATGTATATATTGAGAGAGAGAGAGATAGGTGGATAGATTACAATCAAAGTAGAGATGACTGCACTGTTTTGTAAATGTAGAAACTAGTTATCTCTGATCTTTTTCACAGAATATAATAGTTTTTACATTATCTAAGCATTTTAATATGATTCAGCTAGCCAAACCAATTAATCATAAAGTGTAGTTAATTATTATTATTTTTTTATGTTGTTCACTTACCCAAGGCCGAGAAGGCCACTATAGGTGAGGAGGCTACTTTTTGTGGTTACAACCTCTCTCAACTCTTTAACTCCATAACATGAACAGCCCAAACAAGGTCGCTTCACAGAAAAACAAGTTGAGCACTGTACTTCCAGTGGCATGTTGCAGAGATCGAACTCAGAACATATTGTTTTTAAAGCAAGTGCTCTACAACTACACCACTACCTCATATATTATACTGCATTATTAACATATATACACTACTACCTCATATATTATACTGCATTATTAACATATATATACCACTACCTCATATATTATACTGCATTATTAACATATATACACCACTACCTCGTATATTAAACTGCATTATTAACATAAATACACCACTATCTCATATATATTATGCTGCATTATTAACAAATAAATAATTATTTTTTTAAATCGTTTTTTTCACATAAAGCTTTTTACTTTAAATCTATTTTTTTATTTTAAATTTTTTTATTTAGTGCCAACCTTTAAAAGATGATCAAAATATAAATGAAAAAAAGTTAGAACATTGTGAATCATGGAAGGAGTTAATTGTCTTAGAAAAGTCTACTGCTGTCAGTGTTTGTAGAACAGTATGTTTTTTGAGATTTTTGAAGACAAAATTTGTAATTAATTTTGAAAATGTTTTTTAAATATTTTGTTTGAAAATATTTAAAAAATATTTTAACAAATAAAATTTTAACTGATTTATTTGAAAGCTTTTTTTTAAAGTTTTTTTAAATTTTGAGCTGCTTCATAGTTGCCTTATTGTTAGTTAAGCAAGTAATTCACGTTATTGTTAGTTAAGCAAGTAATTCACATTATTGTTAGTTAAGCAAGTTATTCAAAGCATAAATTAGTTTTTAAATTAGTTTCATAGTTCCTGTTTAGTTATTTTAAGCTTAATATTTTTAATGAAAATTGTAGTTTTCTTATATAAAACAGCAATTTTTTTATGATTTTCTTTCAACTTGACATTTTTTCATTTTATTTCTCTGAATTTTATTTATTTTTTCAAATTATCAAAATGTTACAAACTTTTGTTTAAAAAGTTACATGACTTTCCATTTGCATTTTTTACCTTTTTTTTTAGTCTTCTACAACATCAACTCGTGGCTCTTTGGTCATGAAACGGAAGCAAGAAAATGTTCTCAACTTTGAAAGTATGATATTGTACAATTCTGTAGTAAAGTATAATTCAATTTACACAAAGTTTGATAAATTAACAAGCAAATATTTGATGAAGAGAGAAAAGAGAAATAACATATTTTTTTTAATTTCCTGAAATAGCTATGTTTTATGAAAATGTTATGTGTGCAATAGGATGAATATAGGTCATGAAAAACAAATTGAATAATTGATAGTAATAAATTGTTGCTCCTGAATAATATTAAGTGAATAGAACAAAATTTTGCGTATCTACTCTGTTTTTGCATTTTTATGCTTCATCAGCATTATTTAAAATGTATTGAATTAAGAACTTAGAATTTTGATCATAAAATTTAACTTTAGACAATAGGTTTAAAGTTTACTTTTTTAATCTTCTTTTTTTGCTAGAGGGTCTTACATTACTATTCTGTTAGGTATTTTTAAAAAATTTTTTTATAATACTTAGAAATATAATTATAAAATTATAGAATTGTTATAAATTGTTATTATTGGATGATATAAGCAAGATAGAAAAATAGTTTAGACCTTCTTTTGCTCTCAGAGGGCCTTAAATGTGTATTTTTAGGCTCTTATTGATATTTATTAATTATTTAATCTTATTCTAAATAAATTCCGAAAAATAAATTTGACTGGATTTAGATCAATCAATCAATCAATCATTTATTTCTGAATTAAGGTTTTACATTCAAGGATGTTTACAAATAGTAAATATACTAATATAAAGTAAACACCTACTAATGTTAATAATATCTAATTAAAATAAATATAATGCTAATTTTCACAATATATAATAACGATAATAAACTTTATAACATAAAATAACGATGTAATATAAATAACGATGTTATAACAATAATAATAATAACAATAATAATAATAACAATAATAACAACAATATTAGTATTAGTAATAAAAAAAGTTAAAAGTAGTTATCAATAGTAAATATTAGTAAAAATAACAATAATCAATAAAAAATATAGAATAGAAACTGTAAAATATATATATATATTATATATATATATATATATATATATATATATATATATATATATATATATATATATATATATACATATTACGACAACAAAAATAGATTATAAAAATTATAAACATTAACTATATTTTTTTAATAAAAAGTAAAATAAACTGGTTTTAAAGGTTGAGAATGAATTGAGAACTTTTAGTTCATAAGGAAGGTTGTTCCAAGTTTTAGTGCTTTGATATTTTATGGATTTATGCCCGTAATTATGAGAGCGGTGTTTAGAGACAGACAGGTTTAAATTACTATCGGAACGAAGGTGATAACGATTGTTGGCACTTTTGGAAAAGAAATTAATGAAAGTTAAAGGTAGATTATTGTGTTGGCGGTTCCAGACAAATTGGCAGTGTAAAAGTTGAATATAGTCACATAGTTTTAATACTTTAGAAGTTAGGTAGAGCACATTAGAGTTAAATATAATATTCTGAAAATGAATAATTTTAACGCCTTGTTTTGGAGGTGGGATAACCTAATAAAAGCTTGTTAATGGGACTGCCCCCATACTTGGCATGCATATCTAAGATGTGAGCCAAAAATAGCATGGTATATGTTCAAGAGTGTCTCAAAATTAACATAATGGCGAATTTTGGCCAACATACCATTAGATCTACTTAGTTTCATTGCTAAGTCTTTACAGTGGGATAAAAAGGAAAGATTTGAATCGATTTTTATACTAAGATATTTAATTGAGTTAACAAGTTCAATTTTTTTGCCACTTAATCTAAAGTTCATATATTTATAGATTTTTGTTTTATTTGATTTAAAGATAATGAGTTCAGTTTTATTAGAGTTTAGAAAAAGTTTGTTGGAGCGAAGCCACTGAACTAGATTGGCAAGATCATGGTTAATGTGTTTGTTAATTTTTTTAAGGGATTTATTAATTAGTATTACATTAGTATCATCAGCAAAGTGGTAAACAGTAGCAAACTTAATAGATGTATGAAGATCATTAATATAAAGAAGAAAAAGCAGTGGTCCTAATACTGAACCCTGAGGAACGCCATTAGAACATTTTACAAGGGTAGATTTTGAGTCATTAATAGAAACAAATTGTGTTCTATTGTTTAAATATGTAGTAAACCATTTAAGCGGTACGCCTCTGATCCCATAATATTCTAATTTTTTTAACAAAATTGAATGATCCACTGTGTCAAACGATTAATGTAAATGGACAAATACACCACATGCAAAACATTTATCATCAAGTGCTTTTCTAATTAGTTCAGTCATTTCAATGAGAGCCTGAGTTGTGGAGTGATTGGCACGAAATCCATACTGATGGGTGTAAAAGCATTAAAAATTTTCAAGAAAAGAATATAGCCTATTATGCATTGCCTTCTCAAAGTGTTTACCTATATTAGAAAGCAGAGAGATGGGTCGGTGAAATCTAGAAGAGAGCCTTTTGTTAATCCAGTAACTGAAAATGAAATATCTGGTCTCATTACAAACACGCTTAAAACAGAAAAAAGTCTTAGTCCTAATAGCGTACCTACATTTCTCCTCAAACTAGTCTCACATTATTTCAAAGCCTCTCTGTACTGTTATAAATAACTCATTTAAAAGTGGTATTTTTCCCAGATATTTTTAAAGTTGCCAAAATTATTCCAATATTTAAAAAAGGCTCTCTTCTAGATTCAAGTCAAGTTTAAAAAAATTTACTTATTGTTAGTATTTTAAGAATAACAGCTAAGAGAACTATAAAGAAACAGAATGACACAAAAGGCTAACCTAGGTTACCAAAATCAACTGGTTACATAATCATAGGAAGAAAAGTTTATTTAAAGTTTATGATTATGATTATGATGTCAAATTATGACAGCTTAAAAAGAATTTTATGACTGAAAAGGTAAAGCTTTCTGTGCCTTAACAACTAACAGTAAAAACTCACCAAAACAGTAAAAACTTACCAAAAACATATCACTTTAATAATAGAAGGAACATATCACTTTAATAATAGAACCTCGTTTTATTTTTCTTGGTCAGGTTTTTCTGAGGATTCTCCGAAACGGTGTTTCATGAATGTTAACGTAAATGGATCAGTAGGTTCTGGAAGTTGGGGCTGTCTCATATAAATGGCTGATTTGCGTCTGGGGTTGTGTAAAGTTGTGGTAAAAGAAGCTTAAAACTTGCCAGTTATATTTTCATAATGATATTTTATGAATTGTAACTGCACAAAGTATCATTATGTATGCCTTAATGATGCAAAAAGTGGGTAGGTTGCTATCTTGTGAACAAATTTTATGTCAGAATTTAAAAAATTATTTTCATATATTATTTTATTTTTCTCATTGAATTTATATTGTTATTTTTTTTTTTTTTTAATTATTGAATTTATTTTGTTTTTTTAATAACATTTCAAATATGCCTTTAAATATTTCACGTAGTTCTTTAGCCATTATACATTACACTTCCATAGTTGTGGGTATGCATCAGCGGTGCAGATATAAAGAGCTCATATTTTCTACATGAGATATAGATAACTATCCCAGCGTTAGCCAAGCTGTATCATTTTGAACTTGTTTTTTGATAAAGCAACCTTATATATCAAGAATTTTTTCTTAGAGTTTGGGTTAAAAAAAGAGTAAAAAAAACTTTATTCATAATTGTGATTTCCCGGCCTTAGGAGGTATTTTGTGTGAAGATCTAGTTTATGTTTCAAATTATTATGATCATTAAAGTCATGTAAGGTGAAGTAGAAAATATATTTAGTAAATAAATGGGTACTTAGTGTTCAAAGCAAAAATTGGTAATTATTTTATGCTTGAGGGATGTTTGGTTAGATAAGAACGTGGGGCCATGTTGTTAAAAATAAGGTTAGTAAAATATTTAAATTAAGGTTCGTAAAAAAATTTTATTGTTTTGAATGAAATTTATATTCACGGAAAAAGGATTTAGTATTTTTCAATGTATTTTTTCAATAATAATATATGTTTAAAATGTATAAAAAATATAACAAATTTTTTTTCAATGTATAATAACTAATTTAAAATGCATCCTTTAGAAGATGACAGCGATTTAAAAGATCTTGTTTTGTTGCTTCGAGGAAAAGGTAAAAGTATTCGACTAGCACCATAGTAATATCAGATAAGCATTTTAGCATTGTTAGCATTTTCAATGAAGTTGCCGAATCTGTTTGCAATATTGTCACTGTATGACAACTTTTTATTGCTGTTGAGAATGACAAAGCCGTAAAAATTTTGCTATAGTTTGTTTGTTTTTTTTTTTTTTTTTTTTTTTTTTTTTTTTTTTTTTTTTGTTGTTTGTTGCTGTTGCTGTTAACCAAACACTTTTATTAAATGAAAGAATATATGTATGAAGATTGTTATTAATTGTACTGTCTAGTAGTTGTAGGCGCACTAATATTGTAGTTATAATTTGAATTTTTGAATTATATGGTTTCATATTTATCTTTTATAAATTTTTAACGAAATAAATGGTTTCAAATTAACCTTTTGGAATAAATTTTTATTGAAAAAAATCGTTTTAAGTTGACATAATTTGAAAGCGTTTGTTACTGTATTGAACATCGTTAAAAAAAAACTATAATATAATTTTTCTTAACAGTCTTCAATAACCGATAGGTTTTATTATGCATTAGATAGAGGTGGAGAAATTAAGCCTATCGCTCTTAACTTTTATCAAAGCTTTTGATAAAGTTTGGCATGCTGATCTTCTCCATAAGCTTTCTTCTTACGGTGTATCAGGTAACGTGTCCTTGATAGACAGCACTCTTCTTAATACCCTGTTTACTTCAGAGGTTCCTCAAGATTCGAACCTTGGCCCTATACTCTTTTTAATTTACATTAACGATCTTCTATATATTCTCACATCTAAGGTAGCGTTTTTTGCTGATGATACTACCATTTATTCTTGTCTTGATTAAAAGGCATTACTCTCTGATTGCTTGGAAGGGGCATTTAAAAAGCTATCTAGATGATCGATGCCAAAGAACAAAAATAAACGCATCATATAGCTCTTAATCAAAAGTATTACAAGGTAATACTTTTTCCTAACTCGCAAGGTTCGGTGTTAGGACCCCTACTTTTTAATATATATATACATTAATGATATGTTCTCTCTAATGAAAAATTGTGAAGTTTGTAATTTTGCAGATGAGACTAGTCCTTATGTAATAGATAAGGATGTGCATTTTCTATTCAATAAACTTGAGAAAAACATTATGTAATAGATAAGGATGTGCATTTTCTATTCAATAAACTTGAGAAAAACATTATGTAATAGATAAGCAACAAATACAAAAATTAAAGTGAGATCCTTTTCAAACTCAAATTTATTTTAATTTATTTAACATCGGTAGATTTTACAAATATATTGTATAAACTAGGATACAGAAAAATACTGAACTATATAAGCCGATGATGGTGACCTTGTACCCCGTATCAATCGCTATCTTGCTCTATAAACTTTATCTTTTTTCTTCCAAAAACTTCCAACTCTAAAAGTGGTTGCTTGAAGCCTTGTTGAAAGCAAAAATGTTGGGGGAAAAAAATACGCACTCCGCAATTAATTTAATTTCTTGAGATTGAACACCGGGTGAAACTTTTCTTGAAAAGTAACCTAATTTACAAGTATTTATATTATTTAAATTACAAATTAAGGCAGGCTGAAGCGTGGTTTTTTTTTTCAAATTTGCAATGTTGCAACTTGTTCTTCAGGCTTTTATAGAAGAATGTTGACAAAAAGAGTTTTATTATTAACGGCACAAAAAATCCGTAAAAGGTCACAGTTGGTTTCTATTGCATGTTTAAAGGCCTCAAAAACAAAAAGGCTAACACGTGTAAATAATAGGGCTCTGTCAATAAAATGAAACTAACAACTATTGTTTATAAAAATATTGATTAGAATACTAAAACTAAAAAAAATATAGTAATATTAATACAAATTTAATTATTATTAATAATTCAATCGTTAAGGAAACATAACGAATAAGAAAAGATTTATAAATTACGCGACATTTTTATAATTGATTTTAAAATCTAAAAAAACACGTTTTAAACTCCAGAGTTCAGATCACTCCATCGATATTTTTGTAAAAAAAAGTTGTTTTGGCAATGTTGTTCTTCCATCATTGTGTCAATAATAAAAAATTTGATTTCATATTCTTTTTTCTTTTTTGCAAACTTTTTGTTTAAAATGCTTGTTTTGATTAGGTAATTTTAAAAATTATCCTTCATCGGAGGGCGTAGAGATCGGTGCAATCACCAAGATAATTTTGTTTTTAAGCAATAAAAAAGCGTGTCAAAAAACTTTTTGCGTGTGGCCTTGCAAAGTCTAAGAAGAAGTTGATAAAATAGCACATTAAACTAAAAAACATCTTAAAACTGTAGTTAAAAACTTTGCAATTTTCAGTCGTGCGTTTAGTAAAAGTAATATAGATGCTGTAGCAAGTTGTATTGCCAAACAAATATATAGCTGTACATGCGTTATGACAAAAATGGCTCAAGAACAAAACCCCGAGAAACACTACTAATTATACTTAATAATGACGATAAAACTTTTCCTGTTACTACACTTTTTTTACCATTGGTTAAAAAAATCTCGATCCATCTAAACAAAACACCAAGTATCCTATATGCTTCACACATGAGTAATAACCTTTTGTGCGGTACCTTGTCAAAGACCTCGCTGAAATTGAGATAAATAATGTCAATTGGAAATACGTTGTCATGTACATTATCAAAAAATCCATTGTTTCCAGTAAGTTGGTTACAAAAGCTCTATTCTTCCCAAAGCCATGCTGGTATCGTGATAGAGCACCATGTAGTTGCAATTAATCAGCAGTTGCCTCACAAATATATTATTCCAAAACTTTGCATGGAACTGACGTTAAAGACCCAGTGTCTTTAACGTCTGTAATTTAACGCTAGACATAGGTTGCCATTCTTGAAGCGTTATGTTTGTTTCACTCTAACTATTTGTTGTTGTGCCCGATTCAATTGTAAGGCTGAATATGATTAATAGAGGTTTCGAAAGTGTTGACGCACATTGCTGAACACATATGGAGTCACTATATTGCTGCCAATTGCTTTGTTTTTATCCAATTGTCCTAGTTAATTTTTACGTTTTCGAAATTAAACGCACTCCTCCAGTCCCAGCAATGCCTTTATTTATTATTTTATCAAGTTTCGGAAGCGCTGTCTCTCTTTCAGACACAAATACAGGTTAAAAACTTTCATTTAGACAATTAACGATTGTTTCCTTGTTGAAGATTATTGCACCCGTATTTTCTGTCAACAACTGCAATTTGTGTCTTTTCGCATGCATCTTGTCGACAGTTGTTTTTTCGTACTTGCTCACTGATTTCTTTACGGCTTTTTTCACATTCTTATTTGGCACTATTTATTCATTAAAAAGTTCAATATTTTTATAACTTTTTATTCTTATACGACTCCACTATGTCTTTTTAAGTTGTATTAGTCGTCTAAATTCAGCCGATATATAAGATCCTTTATGGTACTTTTTATTTTATTTTGTTAAGGTACAATAAATTACTAACCCATGCTGTTACATTTTTCTAAGAAGATTTCATGACACTCATTTGCTGATTTTCCGGCAAACTCCTTTTCCCAGTCTCCTTAAACTTAAAATTTTCTGGCAAACTCCTTTTCCCAGTCTATACTATCTAATGCTGCATACATTCTTGTATTATTAATTTTCCTGTATACGTACGATTTGTTGTGATTTCACTTTTACTGGGGCTGTTTGTGATGACATACCATTGAATGAAGTTGTGTGTCTTATTAATTAATCTAAGGAACGGTCCTATTTCCATGTCTATCTTCCACTTCTTCGCCATTATCCCTTATTACAAGATCTAGTAAGTTTGTTTGTTTTCCATCCTCAATTTGAAACGTTGTTTCGCACAAGCACTAGTGGAGACAATTTTCGTTTAAATTGTTGACTCTGTTGACAGTTACTTTTGACACATATACACAGATTATGCTACATACCACTGAACTCTTTGTTGTACACTAGATTTACTTTTGACTAGATTTAACTTTGCTAATTAAAAAATTTATATGAGTACAAATTCCTCACATCTCATCTTGAGTCAAATAAACTGCTGTCAGACAATCAATACGGTTTTCGATTCTCTCGCTCTACGGCCGACTTGTTAACTGTTGTAACTGAAAGATTTTATCGTGCATTAGATGGAGGCGGTGAGGCTAGGGCTATTGCTCTTGACATATCTAAAGCTTTCGACAAAGTTTGGCATGCTGGTCTTCTCCATAAGCTTGCTTCATGTGGTGTTTCTGGGAAAGTTTTTGAGATTATCAAATCATTTCTTTCTGACCGGTTTATTAAAGTCATCCTTGAAGGCCAACACTCTTCTTTATTTCCAGTAACATCTGGGGTTCCCAAAGGTTCCATCCTGGGCCCTGTTTTGTTTCTTATCTACATAAACGATCTTCCTGACAACCTTTCATCTAAAGTAGCTCTTTTTGCTGATGACTCAACTTTATACTCCTGTCTTGACAAAAAGTCTTCTCTTTTCGATCGCCTAGAACAAGCAGCTGATCTTGAATCTGATCTCACCTCAGTAATAGATTGGGGTTCACAGTGGCTTGTGAATTTCAACTCTAAAAAAACCCAATTGCTTACTGCAAACAACTACCGTAATATGGTCAACATTCCTATATTAATAAATGGCAATCCTCTTACTGAGTCGTCCTCTTTACGTCTTCTTGGATTATCGCTTACTACTGACCTTTCATGGAAACCATATATACAATCGATTGCTAAATTAGCTTCTGCTAAGGTTGCTTCTCTTTATCGCGCTCGCCATTTCCTTACTTCTGATTCCATTCTCTACCTCTACAAATCTCTTATTCGTCCCTGTATGGAATACTGTTGTCATATTTGGGCTGGTTCTTCTAACGATTCACTCTCTCTTCTTGACAAGGTCCAAAAACGCATTGTAAATGTTGTTGGACCTGGACTATCTGCTAAGCTTGAACCTCTTTCCTGTCGTCGTAAAGTTGCATCTCTTTCTCTTTTCTACAGATACTATCATGGTCACTGCTCAAAGGAGTTATCATCTCTAGTTCCATCAACTAAAATTCATTCTCGTTTTACTCGTCATTCAGCTAAGTCTCATTCGTTTTCTGTATCTGTCCTTGCATGCTCTAAAAACTTTTATTCATCTAGTTTTTTTCCCCGCACTTCTATTCTTTGGAACTCTCTCCCATCTTCATGTTTTCCTGACTCATACAACCTTCAACTTTTTAAGTCTTCTGTCAACCGTTTCCTTGCTCTATAACTCTGTTCTTTTTTTTTCCTAGTAACTCCCAACTTAATAGTGGTTGCTTGCAGCCTTGTTGGGAGTGAATGCAAATAAAAAAAAACTAAAAAAAAAAAAAAAAAAAAAAAAAAAAAAAACTCTGTGTTTCATCAGTAAAGACTCATCAGAAATCT